CTATTACATAATTTCTTTTCATGGTTTTATTGATTTTACTTAGGGGACTAGTCTCATTCGACTTAATATGGAATGATATATGGTTATATCCTAGGAAATAAAAAAATCATTATTCAACAGTTAATGTGCCATGTATTCATCCACGTTTCTTTCAGACGTTTGATCTTACACAGTTTACAGTGTATCTGAATATAAATTCATTTCATTTCTGTAATGAAATATTTAAAATTATGTAGAAGGTTTTAAAACGTCTTGTGAGGTGTGGAAGTTAGTCTTCGCTCTACCCAACACTTCAAATAGAATTTGTTATTAGCAATGTCGAGGGGTTCAACAAATTGCTCGGTCAAATGTTGTTTTTATTGAATGGTCTTACGAACACAGTTATTGCAAACCATGAAAGCTTTCGCCAATAAAAGGACAAAACGGTTTGTTATTGCCTTGTATCAATTATTTAAGGAATTATATTCCAAACACCATTACGATTACGTTACGTCGTGAAAGGTGGTTTAATATTTCGTGTTCGTGATATGAAATTGGGGTTTTGTTCTATTAATTCAAGATCACGAAAATCAATAAGTTATATATATTCTTTCAAGATATTCTCGTTGGTTTGAAGATAGCGACGAATGATGCAAATACAATTTCGCACCGTCATTGAGAAATTGAATTTCACCAATTATTTTATGTACGTTGGAATATTACCAATTTGTGTCCAGACATCGAAGTGGACTATACAGTTATTTTGTTGATATGCTTTAAGTTCACTGGAATTTAATGTCTTAATGTTTTAAGCCATTGGTGTATATGGCAATAGTATTAAATTGATACAGTAGTAAAGTTAAAAAATTGTTTTATCACTTGAGATAGATCATTTGTTCTTATTTACGCTATTGTCAATGACCTCATGGTAGTATCTGCATGAGAGAAGATTAGGTACGGTTTGGTTTAATTGTAAGCAAACTGGTGTGTGATTAAGTTTTGAAAAGAATACTAGTAGCTGGGAAAGCAAAAGCAGACATTTATATTTGGATAATGAATATTTTAATAACAGACTTGCGCTTATGTAACCCCTCTCCTAGTAAAATAATTAAGGTACTTGTATCCCATTAAATCGGCGAATGATTGGTACATATACTGTACATGTACATACTTAGACTAACCTAGGAGATAGTTCTCAGGTACTGCAGATATAAACATGCCATGTAAATCAGTCATGATAGTCTTATCAGGTGTTTTGCTGCCAGTTGTAGTTAGAAACAGCCAGGAATAACAAGTTCATTCATCGATTCGGTTGAAATAGTCGTATATCGATACTCACTAGCTAACTGCAAGGAATAACATCATGCTTTACCGCCTTGGTGAATAATATATCGTCTCATAGCTATAGAACTGTTGATATAGTCATGGAGTAAGAATACGGTTCACCGTTGTGGTTGAAGTAGTTATTGGACAACAAACATCTTATGTCTATTTAAACAGTCTAAACAGAATCTGACTTGAAGGATAGTGTTGTAAAAAAAAATTTACATTTTATGAGGATCTTTTGAAGAAGTGGTGATCCTGAGGATTTTAAACCTGAGTTCGGAAGATACTGAATTGAACGAGCACGACGAATTGGAATACAAAAGAAATATATTAACGTGAACATGTGTTGTTGGTATATCACACTATTGTAAAGTATGGAGTGTATAGGATGTAGTGTATATCTTACAAGAATCACAGTGTAAACCAGAATAGATTATCTATAATAAAGATAACCTGTTGGCTGAAGGGCAGAAAGATGCTGCTTATTACGTTGTTACTATTTCCGGCAGTAATGGTCAGCTCATCTGGAACTAAACTGTAAGTATGACCAGACCCAAGCCGATATTTTACACCTTTTTCTGAGATAAGGCATATTTTTTTTATTAAACACTGCATCGTTAAGTGATTGACCATGTGGCTTGTTTGATGTCTGTATACTTTCGATCAGCCATTGTAGTTCTACTGGGGTATTTTTGAGAGGAGAATATATATTGTTTTTCATTTCGTCCCGAAAAAATCCCTGGTTCCATGGAATTTGCCAGTCCACAATCCTCTTAGATGTTGTTGTATTGAAAGAGTGGAAATGTGAATATTTTTGGTTCGATCTTCACTGTTCTACTAAATTTTATTCTTTACTAATTTACTCAAGAGTTCATTCTTCACCACTTCACCCAAGCTCGTTCTTCACCGTTTCCTTCAAGTTCTTTCTTTACTGTAATTATCTGGATATTTCTGTTTAATTTAGGGTGGATCTTCACTGCTTCATTCAAGATCCTTCTCCATCTTTATATGAAGTGCATTCTTCACTAATATGCTCAAGAGTTCATTATTCACCGCTCTATTCAAGGTCATTCTTCATCGTAATGCCCTAGATATACTTTTCTAGCTCATATTAAAATTTATCCAATATAATAGTGTATTTAATGATGAATGGTTTATATCAAATAACACTGACAATAAAATGATCAATAATGAGGTGAACTTTAATACAGCTGAGCTAATAACTCACTAGAGGTTAACAGATTGCTGTTTTATAACTTGAGATGGTAGACAGGATAGAAAAATAGGCATCGATGCGTCTCTGAATTCCATGCACCTGACATGGAATATGAAATGTTCCTTATACTCCGATGGAGGGTTCGAATGAGCACACCTTACCTTATCATCATGTAGGGATGCTACCAACTGACCTTCCCCTTTGTCCCATGGCGATCCCGAGTTGTTTCAGCAATTTTATTTGTAATTATTCATACTCTCTTGAAACAATATGCCTCTTGCACGCTTGACCTATTCATAAGTCAGTTTTCGAATAAAACTGAATATAACTGAAAAATGTTTGCAGTGTGAACAGAGTAATTGATTTCTAATCTATTGCTGTAACTTTCTATTAAATTCCAAGCAGGGTTTATATCCTAACTTTAGGAACTATTTCCATAATCACAGAAAATTTCGTCTAAAACATGCATAATCAATATTGTAAATGTAGATGCCAGTTGTAACATATTCCATGCTAGCCTTACGTAATTATCTTCTAAACCTAAATTAGTGAATACATATTATCTTTTCTTGATTTATTGCATATGTCTGATCATCTGTTGCAAGTCAATTAATATTGTTTTAATAAGCCGATATCTCTCGACTAGGTCAAATGACATGTTACGATAATAATGTTGTTTTATATATCTAAACATGCACGATTCACGGACGTTAACGAAAATGATGCGGCATCGTGTATTCGAGCATTCTCTACGTAAGCCAATACGCATTTCCTCTTATATAAGAAAATTTCAGTCAATGAACATGGAAATGCTTCTGATATTAGCCTCTGATATTAGCCTATCAATTTGGTTATTCGAAAATTAGGTGTTTTAATTCACCCAAGACTTCCTACCGACCATGTTAAATTCGTCATCGAATGGTGTAAAACTTCACCCAAGACTGCCCACCCGACCATGTTAAATTCGTCATCGAATGGTGTAAAACTTCACCCAAGACTTCCCACTCGACCACCTAAATTCGTCATCGAACAGTGTACAACTTCACCCAAGACTTCCCACTCGACCATGTTAAATTCGTCATCGAATGGTGTAAAACTTCACCCAAGACTTCCCATCCGACTATGTTAAATGATGTAAAATAGATATATTATCCCATGGATATATATTTGATATCCAGCCATATGAAGTAAATCTGATTCTCTTATAACATTATTCTATGTTACTCTGTTATTACTTTAAATTATCATCACACATCCTATTCCCTTGTGACCTAACTTAACATTACCGTATTATATTCTTATGTCTGTATAATACTATTCGTAATATACGGATTGAATTATCTAAATATCTTTGTGTTCTGTTGGTAAATTAATATCATTTGTCTGTAGCTGATATTGTCGTTGTTGCAAGTAAAGATGCCGAACAAATACAATAATAATGGTGACAAGGGCCCAAAATCCTCGGATTTTCTTTACCTTTTTAGACTGTTTTAAAGTTCTAGTGGAATCCACTTCTAGATGCGATTCTAGTCAATCCCGAGACGAATATGATTGTATCTCAATGGTAAATTCGGTAAAACAAAAAACGGCATCAAGGATCATCATGAAAAGTTGATTTTAAGCAATAAGTATTGTTTATACTTTCAGGGAGAGAGCGATAGCCAAGATATTGAAGAACTATGATCCCAACATACCACCAAATTTCGAAGATGGTGAGTACATAAAGCATTATAAGGTTTAGGACTATGTGTGTGAGATCTTGTTAATTTTTCTTTTCGGGTGATCAACGATGAACAAAATTATGACAAGGTTTATGTAAGAATATTGAAACGAATGCTCCAAAACTGCTTACACTCAGGTGGGGTGTTTGCAAGAGTGACTTTTCTCTAATTTTAGCTAATGGATGTGGTATCTCAATGTATAAATGTTTTTAAAGATAGCGCAATTTGTGATGCATGGTTTCTCCATTTCAAGGATGAGATAGTTTCTGCTCACAGCATGTTCCTAGAACATTGCGAATTATCGAAAATGTTTCCACAGTTAATTGAAAAAATGCTACTAATCGAATAAATTAAAATCTGCGAAACGTTTACGTACTATAAATAAGCTAAGAACAAATACGAGCAAACTAAAAATGTTGACGTCGACCTCTGGTCAAAATTGTTAATATGTACATTTTTTAGAGGGATAACAACTTAAGTTCACAGTTATGGATCCTTTCTACCATGCTGTCCTTTGTCAAACATCTTGGCATTGATCTTTCCGTACCCATTTACAGCAAGGTCGACTGGAATTATGAGTGAAGATCAACATTTATTCACACCCGTAAGTTTACAGGCCTAAATAAAAAATAAAGTGTTTAAAGAGTTTATTTGTTACTTTTTTTTATCAGATTGCCTTGATAATTGTTTCAGATATTCCAACAATGGTTACCGTACAACTGTATATTGTTAGCTTTGATTCTATTAGCGAGGCAACAATGGTAAGTTTTATCATGGGGGAAAAGCTGAATTATATTGAAGAAAATCTTCCAGTCTTATTCAGAAATCAATATCTAGTTTAATACTAGACAAAACCAAGTACATTTATGATAAAGCTGGTACTTATTCTTTTATCAGATAACTACTTTTGGAAGAATGCAAGACATTTTCTGGTCTTTATTGATGCTTGCTTTAAGTGTGGGAAAACAATATATTTATATGCAGGATATTATAGAAGATATTAGCAAAAGATAAATGATAATAGAAAAGATAAGTGATATCAGAACAGAGGAAAAGAGATAAGACTATTGATGGTCTGAATAACTTACAGTTTGACCATATTGTTCATTTCCCTAAGTTGTGGGTTTAAACTTAAAACTCGGTTATATCCATCTCCGAGATTTTTTTCTATGGCGATGTCTATCAGCAAGAAAAAAAGCTTTTATGCTTATGGTCGCCTACATGCAATGTTCCGCTTTTGCATCAATATTCTTATTAATCCAAATGTACGATGTACATATCATCTTTTCCAGGATTATTCCCTGACCATATTTCTACGCCAATCTTGGTCAGATAACAGACTGCAGTATGAACAGTTACCAAATATCACAGCATTGGAGCTTGATGCCAGGCTGATGGAAAAGATATGGGTTCCTGATTTATTTTTTACAAATGAAAAACGGGCAATATTTCATCACGTGACAGTACCAAACAGATTAATGCATATTTATCCCAACGGAACGGTGAACTACAGTTGTAGGTCAGTAGACGTTTAAAAATTTATTATGCGACCATTATATTATTGTGTGTGCTTAAAAATATCAGATGCGAACCAATTGATTACTTGCTCATTTCTGTTCCTCTGGGCAAGGTCAATATATCTCTGCGATCGAAAGAACATATTGCATTGGGTTGTTCAAATTGGATAGATATCATCCTGTCGGTGGTCCAGCTAGCTCGCTAGTCGTAGTTTCTGGCTTGACATCCACATATTTCGATGCCTTCAGATTTTTTACAATTCAGTAACCTTTGTTTTTGACACGATCGAATTGCATAGAAAATCAGTCTTTGGATGGGACAAAAACCGAGACAAAATCCCAGTAAAATCCCTCATCGCACACTCTGTCCATCTTTATAGCTTGAAGACCAGTAGAGAATCACACTCAACTCAATTTGCTTTTATTTCCATGACGTGCACTAAAGAATATTGACGCATCTGATCGCCTATCAGATGCTATCTATTCAATCCATTGTAACAAATCTGTGTTCTGTTGTAACTGTAGGATATCAATGACATTGAGTTGTGATATGGATTTACATAAATATCCATTCGATGATCAAGATTGTCATATTGTAATGGAAAGCTGTAAGTAATCACATTTAATAGTTTCCTGTCAATTTTCTGGCTCAATGACTCTAGTCTGTTAGTTAAAGTATGACGGAATATTCTGACCTATCGCCACACCACAGTTTTAAATATTCGTATATCACATGCCATGCGAGATATTATTGTCCATGAAATTGGTTAATAATAAGAATTTCGTATATCGTCGAGTACTTTGAAGTAGGCCTATCTGCAGTCATATGACAAAAATATAAAATATTGTAATATCAAATACAAGTTGTTTGGAAATTAAATTTACTCGACCGTCAACTTTAAGAAAAGCACGTTATAAAGATACTATATCAAATGACAGATTTTGTGTTCTTTTTGAACTCATATTAAAACTTAGTTCAGTTAATAACCTTGCTAAATTGAATGATGAGATCCTCTCAATTTCCAGATGGTTATTCTACTAGTAATTTGATATTCAAATGGAATCCAACACCAATTATAAAGCGACCGGAAGTCAAACTACCTCAATTTGAAATGGTGAAGTGGACATGGTCTGATTGTACAAAAACATACGTCAACAGTAAGTACAAGCTCCAAGACGATGAGCTTTTCTTTAATGAAAATTTCTGTAATGACATCATCTGTAATCTATCACAGTTGCAATTTAGCTTTTGTTTGCACTTGAATATTGTCTTTTGATAAAAAGTATTCTCTACATTTATACGCAAAAAATGCGTTTTGAGCATACTTCACAAGCATTATCACATTAGGTTCGTCGCTTTGACAACTACTACAATCATCCAGATTTGGTGTCCCTGATGATAACAAATCGTTGAAAACCAAGTAGCATTTTACTCGATTTTTCTAGTCTGAGCCCTTTTAAAGCACACACTAATGTATGATTTACATTCTATATGTTAACTTTTCACATCTATTCCAGCCAATTATACGTGTTTAAGTGCTGATTTTTACCTGATCAGAAACTATGGATATTATATAGCTCAGATATATATTCCTAGCGTATTGGTTGTGATTTTATCATGGGTGTCATTTTGGCTGGACATTGATGCCATTCCGGCTCGGATATCACTGGGCCTGCTGACAGTACTGACCATGACCACCCAAAGTTCTGGTGCTCGGGCCAATCTGCCCAGAGTATCTTATATAAAAGCTATTGATGTGTGGATGGCAATGTGTCTGTTCTTTGTGTTTGCGGCGTTGGTTGAATTCGCCTACGTCAACGTGATGTCGCGGGTAGAGAAAAGACGACAAACAATACGAGGAGAGATATCCTCGTCGCATATTGATGCTGAAGGTGGGGTCATGTTAGAGGTAGGTATAAGCTAATGGTTTTTATCAAGTTTGTGTGTCCCCAAATCGTATTTTTCACGAACACGATGTCCAATGATATCGAAAGTGAAACTAGGATTGGATATCAGGCACGGGTTCTAGGATAAAGTGCTGCAAATAATTTTGTTTGTGCTATCAGCCATCATAAAGACATGTTGTATATTGTATTTGGATAATTTATAGCCTGCTACACACCAAATGTCCCCACTTCTGACGGACTTTGACACAACTTCATGTGGCTTTCTATCACTTCCATTGACCAAGACAGTCTTACAGTTCTTTTAAAAAGGCTCTGCTAGTAGTCTCCCTTGAAAAGCAGTTATTGATCAACTTCTTGCATGTTAGGGACGTTAAAAAAGTATATACATTCGAACTTCCCGCTCTTTCGATTGCTCCGGTGTATTAATCATATGTTGTACGCATCCCTTTGTTTGTCTACTTCAGGAAAAAGAAAAAACTAATGGTAAATCTAATCCATTTAGATCCAAAAGACTTTCAAATATTACCGCTCAAAATAGGCAACGAGCACGTCGTATGGACAAAATCTCGCGCCTAGCCTTCCCTGGTGTTTTTATTATGTTTAATATTGGATATTGGATTTTTTACATGACTTGGGAAGGCAAATAGACCAATTTGTAAAACTCGTTACGAAGTTAACTTCACGGAGTTTCTCGCGTGCTTTTCAATATCTTGTCAGTGGATTTGCTTCAGTACAGACATTTTTGAATGGTATTAACAGGTGCATAATGAGTAGGTTTATCATCAAATCACTTTGGGAACGGCCATATTCGAAAAGATGAATTAATATTTTTTATTAAGACTATAGAAGATAAGTATGCTGCGCTATGGTTAGATTTAGAAGAAAGGTAAATGCACTACGTGTATTAATAGTGACTGAGGAAAATTGTGAGCGAAACTGGAGGGAATGAGAAGGAAGGTAACTTTGAAAACAAAACATAAACACAAAAACACAAAATATGCTTATATCTGGCGACAACGAGAATTCCCAATGTGAATTAGGTAAAATATCACCGAGTATCTGTATAGCATTTAGTCACTGTTTTCGCTGATAGTTGAAGACCATGACTTGAGAATGGAATTTTTTAATGCCCAATCGGCCGTGTTTTACCGGTGTTTAATTTTTCTTGAAATTCTAAAATAAAAATTGCACAACGAACAATATTTATGAGTAATTATTGAGTCCTTAAATGGAAAATGAGACATTTGGCATCATGATTTTTATCCCTTGTGTGCAGATGATTGAAATCGTAAATGATGCGGGGAAGCTTGCCGTTTCGTTGAGACAGTTTAAAAACACTTTTTGGCAGATTGGCGTCGTATGAATGATATCCATGTGAATATCTAACCATCCAAAACATTCAATACATGTCATTTCAGCTTTATGTGTGCTACGCATTCCGTGTCCAGAAATCTTCTATTGTTTGCAATGCGACTGTGAGTTTAGTGGTATTTCGTTATGGTGTTTTATTGAAGACTTTTCACTCTGTTGGTAAAACGCCCTTTCAAATCTTGACACGCTGGTATTTTAGCACCGCTTGATGTAGTGCAGGCAAATTTCAGAAAACCATCATGGTTCATGATATCGAATGGATGGTATTTCCACATCAAGAAGATCCTTTGATGGAATATTCTAAATAAAGTGTACATGTTTACCCAGTGTTGAGCACCTACTATTTGATAAATTTTTCAAAACTTGTGTTGGTCTTATTTTATATCAATATAGCAATCCCAAGCCACCCAATTATTGTTCACCAAATATACACTTCCATACGCTCGTTTTGATTTGTTACGTTTGAAGAGAGCATTCAACCTGGGTTTTTTTCGCAGCAGTTGATTGATAAATGTTATTCCTAAAATGAGATCAAACATGAACAATACTGTCGTTCAGAAAAACAAGGTTCCTAATCTTAGAATCACTTTCTCAACATCTGATAATAAAACAGATGTGGTTAGACAAATTCTTGACTGAGAGGAATTATTTCCCTTGGATTGTTGGTTAGCTTGAATTATTGGTTTTCGGGGAAGGGGGGGTTTGATTCTCCAAAATGTACAGGCCTAGGGTGGAGCAGACACTTTATTTAGAAATTAGGATTAGGGGTCTAGATATTGGGTTTTCTTCTGTTCTTATTCTGATCTGAAATTAGAAAAAATAACTCGCCCGTTGGGCGAGAAGTATAGTATCTGTTATGTACTGATTGTTTTTAGTTTACTATGAACAATATTATCATTTAAGTTCTTATTTTTTGAATATGCAACTATCATTTTCTGCTTATAGACATGGGGGAATTTCTCTTGAAGGCTCTTATAGTGGGCATGAACTATTTTGCTTGCTCGATTGCTGGTTGTATTAAACGGGTCAACAAAGGGTGCTATGCCTAAATTATGATAAATATTTAGTCCTATAGGTCTTGCTGTATTCAATGTCTCAATCCAATGGGCTTCCCTAGATTGACGGAATTTGGTAGTTTCATCTTCGGGCAAGTCAATTTCTATACGCTCAATTGGGATTAGGGCGAGATCGTCTATTGAATGGTCGTCGAGGTTGAAATGATTAGAAACAGGCTTGTCTTTCTTTAATTTGATGTCTGACCTAAATACATTAAAGCGAGTTCGTAAATTATTCTTAGTTTCTCCTACATATTGTTTGGGGCATTTCTTGCATGAAATTAAATATATTACATTCGAATGTTCACATGTTAGATGTTCCTGGATCGGGTACCTTTTATTCGTAGAGTTGCTTACAAAATAATGAGTTTCTGATATAAAGGGACATGCTTTGCATCTACTGGACAAACATGGAGCACTTCTTAAACCTGGAGGTACTTCGGCACAAAGTCTGTTTTTAGCTGCTATCTGTGCTAAGGTGGAATTTTTTATGTTTCGTAAAAATCGTTTAGAGTACCCACGCTCTTTCAGTTTTGAGAAAACAATCGTACAGGCTTGGTTGAAATCAGAAGATCATGTAC